GGACTTGACAGAAATTGGAGATTAAGGCTCAGGTTCAGATAGGGTGAAGTTCACCTAAATCTCTGTTTTCTCCACACTGTAATTCAATGTATGCCTTTTTGTCTTCCTTTAATTTTCATCCTCGTAATGTTCATGACTGACAGTTTTTACTGTTAATTCTTACTAAAATTATTCACTGCCTATTTAAAAAAAGAAAGGGGGAGGTTAATATGAGCTGGACATATCAGCTCAGAGTAAAATGCTTTGACAGCTCCAATAGCATTATTAAGTAAAATTGTATGTATTTCTAAAAATTTGTCATGATGACTTTTAATGCCATTCAGTAGCTGACTTAATGAACAGGTGTAGAATGGTAACTTTAAAGAGCCACATGTGCTTACTTCTCTTGCTACAGAAGTACAAAAGTACTGGTGGTAGAATTTTTTTCTTAATTATGTCTCTGAAGTATTTCACCACGTTTGTGTATGTTCTTTGCCATGACTATCATTAGGCTTGTTTAATGTATTTTAAACTTCGGTAGCATTTTGCTTAGTGTTGCCATTTTTTTCTTTAAACCCTGCATGGGTTTCAAGCAGTGCACTTTCTGTGGGATTAAACTAGTTCCCAGCTGAAGGTATCGCTAAAGGTACACACTTGAGCTGCACGTGTTGCATAATGTAAGATGAACAGAAAACAATCCCTTGCAGCATGTTGCATCAGCTTTTTTCCTCCAACACTGATAAACAAATGTGTTGTTACTAACAAAATAGAACGCTAATCTAAATTAAAAAAAAAAAAAAAGTTGGTTGTGTAATGTTGGTGTTTAGATCTGTATTTTTTCCCTCTCCTGTCTGCTTGAGGTAGACGGTAAAGAAAAGTAAACTCAACCAAAACATTCTATAGGTGTAACTGGTGTGAGATAATTATGCATTAGTGGGTATTTTGTCATGTCAATGACTGTTAATTGGTTTTTAAAAAAATGCTTGCTTCTTTCTTACTTCTTCCCAACTGAATGGGGAAATAGTTTTCAATAACCAAGAGTATAATTTTCTCTATTTCTTCAAAACAAAAAATCCACGCATGTATGTGTGCCTGTTTGTGTGTGTGTATATGTGTGCATGTATATTCCAGATAAATCCAAATATTAATCTCCATAAATTTGTGTGAAAAGAGATTAACTTTCAAGAAGAAAACCAGAGATGTAGGGTAGGGGATTTAAAAATGCTTTGCATCAGCACAACGGAAGGGCATTAGCATTGTCAGTTATCACAGCCATGGTGGTCTGAAATATGAGAGGACAACCCGACAGGGCCTTTTCAGTCTGAACTCTACTCTGCTGGTATGCAGGCTTCTTTCATGTGGTGACAAAATACTTGGGCTTCTGGACTCTCTTACTGAGAACTTGTGAAGGAGGTATTCGTCACTTCTGCAAAGAGTGACTTGCTAGAGTACCTGGACAGGCTTAACCACTTATTGGAGGATTCTGCCACCATTCAGGGCTGTTAATGCAGTGGGGGACTGACATAAACTTGATTAGTGACTATGTACTGGGAAGTGGAACAGGTGAGCCATGAATTCGGAAGGCTGAATTTGGATCAAGCCTGATTTAAGGTGGGAAAAAGCTGGTTGTGTTCTGAAACGAGAGAGGCGAACTTAAGCAGGGTATTCGGAGGTGGATGGCTAGCTCAGCAGGGATTTGGGTGGGAGATAGGCCCTGTGGAATAAAGCTTCTAACTTGGAGAGCTGACCTGTTTCTTTCAGTGTCTTATTGTTGTGGTCAGAAAGTAAGGAAATTTCTCTGCTACACGTTTTTGTCTAAAATATATGGAAACCTGGGTATGACTGTCACTAGCTCTAGGTACTGTCTGTAAGACTTGTTGGTTTGAAAACAAGCTGATTTTGAATGAAGATGTAAGCCAGTGCCATTATCGAAGTGCTGTAATGAATAATCGCAGCACTAAGCTCCAAGGTCTGTATGAAGTAATACAGATGCTTTAGCTTCCAGATTGATTTTTCATCTTGCTTTTTGAGCTACCCTGTGTTGACTGCTATAAAATCCTTTTTTCCTCTCTCCCTCTGGTTCGGTGGCATCAAACCAAAAAGCGTGTCTCCTCTTTAAACGGGCGCTTGTGAACGGAGTACCTGAAAAGGGTTGGGAGGTTGGTCAGCAATAGCATATTGATTCTGAAATGTATCGAGTAGCTATTTATTTATTTAATTATTTTTAAAAATTCTGTAGTCCGTGGTCCTGTGACAGTCGAGTCACTGGTGAAATGGACTCTGCGATCAGAGGGAGAGCGAGCCACGAACAGAAGAGGGAAGGGCATGGCTTTTGGTAGCTGTCTGATGCGTAATGTAATCTCAAGCATGGGTCAAACTGTGTTGGAGAAATTCTAGTAATTTAATGTCTCTTCCTGCCTATGAGTCTTAGGTTGGTAAGATTGGTGTTGATGCTGGATTGGGACTTTGGTGCAGCCACATAAGCATCTGGTTTGAGTATTTCTCCATGTTTTTTTTGTAAATTGTCATAAAGCTAGCTTAGTCTTTAAAGTCTCATGCTTGAAAAGATAAGAACCTTTGGAAAGAACATCTTCCCTGGTCTTTTCAAAATGGAAAAGTTTTAATCTAACCTAGACATTAAATATTTATGAAATGGATGATTTGTAAGTGATAGTGTTACAGCCCTTCAGGCTTAAGCAGGTAAAAGTTGCCATGGTTCGTTATGAAATTTTTGAACGTTTGGCCTTTTGTGTTCTAACTGTGGTTACTGGCTTTGCAGCTGCTAAGAGGGTGCAATCTGGAAAGAGGTGAGGAAGGATGATAATGAAGACTGGTTGGTTGCCCTGTACGAACAGAGGTACAGTTGTGGATTCTGACTCAGCCCGTCCTCTGTCTGGCTCTTTCTATAAAATATTGTATGCTTAAAAACTGAACCCCCAAACCCACTTTTCCTTTTTTGATACTGTAGTAGCTGAGTAACTTAATACATGTTTTGAGTTGGGCTCATGTAACACCTTTGCCCTTGAACTCTTGCTCCCAAAGGTGTTTCTCTCACTTACTGTGTCTGTCAGCGGTATGTGAATTACCACTGCAGGAAAAAAGTTACCTTTGTGTGGGGTGACATTTGGTAACAAAAACATCTGTGTTTCTTCTGTTTTCTTTTATGACTTCATATTTTTAAACCTCTGCAGTTTTGCAAGCCACAAGACTGAAATGAGTAACACTGGCTTTGTGTGTGTAGTGTCTTAGCTGGTTACAGAACAGGTTTGTATTTAGTGTTCGCAACCAATGTGACAAGTATAGTACTCTGTGAGCCGAATGTGAGTGTTGTTCAACACTTTAAAGACCCAATCCAGAGGATTTAATTCTTAAACAGATGAAGTTTGGAATAGGTCACTCACCTTCTTGAATCATTTCTCACACCTATCTCAACAGACACAAATCTAGGCTTTTCAATAGCTTCTGTTCATATAACAGAACTCATGATGTTTACTGCCTTCTCATGGGACAACTGATTTTTAACTCTTGGGTATTTTTTGTTTGTTTTGTTGAGCATGTGGTTTTATTTCCTTGTTTATTGGAGCACGATTAGTGATAAGGGTGTGATTATTTCATGGAGTGTCACTTCAGGATTTTAAACGGTAGTTCGTTATAGTTAAAGGGTCAGTGCTGGTGGGAATTTTGAGTATTATCTGTGGATTATCAAGTTGATGTGTAGCTCTGTCCTTTTTCAGATATAAAGCAAGCTGGTCATACTTGTGTAATTAGGCTTGCAGAATAATGGCAGGGCAAGGGGAGAGCAAGTATTGCACTGTTGTTGAATCGTCTCTTCTGTTTAGCTTTTTCTGCTTTAGGCATTTTAGAGGTAGCTGGGGATGAGAGAACTATCTTGTACTAGCTTAGTTAACGGTGGTATGAAAATGCCCAAGGTAAAGTAATTATTCAAATGGTATAAACCCAGTAGAATTATTTTATGCCAGATGTTTTCCTAGTGGTAATGTGTATAAGGAGAAAAAGAACTGTTTTCTTTGTTCTATTTTTTTAAGAGCTTGAATCTGAGGCTTTGGTGTTATTCTTCACACTAAAAATGAACATCTTTTCTTAGGAGAAACCTGTAATAAAACCCATGCTGATGAAACTAACACAGCAAAAAACAATGCTCAGAGAAGAAAGGCATATTTAGTCTGCTTAAAACTTCCTCTTAATTTGACTTTCAAGTTTTTCAGTTACTTTTGAATGACTTAAAATATTCATTAAGTTTAATTAATGTTAATCACGTTAAGTTTCTATTCCTTCAGTGCCAAATGTTATGTGATATTTAAAAGGAAATAAATCCTTGTTAATGGGTTTACTTAATTAATACTTAAGAAAATTCTGTAAAAATTAAGTATGTTAAATTATGCAAAAAATCAGCATATATTTTAAGTATTTCCATACTGTGTTACTTTCTACATTATTTTAAGTACTGAATATAAGGCTAGTGATCCTTGCTAATATATATATATATATATGGTGTTTTCTTATTTGGTTTTGCTCTTTACCAGTGACAACATAAATAATTAGTAAAAACCTACCTTTATGTACTGTGATAAATCTCAAATGATTTATTGTATTGGTTTTGGATGAAGAACTTCAAATGGTATTTGATTTATTAATATTTCAACAGAGGGCACTCACGTGCTTTGAGGTAACACCAAATCACTGTGTTTTTAAAGGTGCTTGGAATAAAGTGGAGCTGAAGATAACAAATTTTGTGGGTTAAAACACATAAATGTAATTTGATAGTGCTTGGGAAAATTGGTCATTGTCATATTAACATTTTCATTTCATGTTCCTCCTAATTTTCTATATTTGCTTTGTTTCTTTGGATATTTTAGAGTACATTGAGGCAGTGGATTCATTTGGCCTTGAACTGATTCTAATAGATGCATTATTATGGCTTTCTAGCTGAGTTGCTGTTAGTCTGTTAAATTTAACAGTTGTAATAATGAATCGAAATTTAATAAATACGTTCTTTACAGCTAAAAAGCCAGTAGAAGAATCAGAAGAAAAGAAAGCAGCTCAGTCAAAGAAAAGGATTAAAGAATTAAGAATTTTGGATGGAAAAGCAGCACAAAACTTATGTAAGTGATGTCAGGTGCATTAGGTGAATATCTATTTAGCATGTACACATGCCTGTTCTTAAAAGTTTTATTTCTTTTTTTATTCACACGTGCAATATTCCGTTTCTAAAAACTGGCTAATGTGAGCATGAGTCTTAAGTTCAGAAGCGTTTACATATATGTGATTTGAATTCACTATAAAACGTGGAAAAACTTAAAAAAGTAACGTGGAAAAATGATGTAGACTTAAATGGTAATGAACTACATTTTTTTGTAACAAAAAGTTGATTCTTTCATTAATCTTTAGACTGGAAGTATAAAGGAAGGCACCGTGTTGGTAGCTTTTGTGGGTTGGGGTTGAGAGGCCATTCCTAACGGTTCTTTCTGGTTAGAGCAATGGAGAAATAGAGCTTGATGGGGGTTAGACTTTTAAAGGGAAATATTACAAAGTATGTTAAGTTAGGTGCAAATAGTACTACTATGAATTGTAAGGAAAACAGCCTCACCTGTTATTTTTAATCTGCTGCTTCTCTCTTTAATTGTGGAGGGAAATCAATCATTAAGAGTAGTAGATTCTTTTATTTGAATTAGAAATACCATAAATTGTCACTAGTCCATCTATGCCCTTTGCAAATGAAGTGTGCAAAACCAGATCTGTGCATTGTTTGTTACCACATCCATGAGCACATTTTCTTAAGCAGAAAATGCACTATGACACCAGTAATATAAAACTTAAAGTTTTGAAAATATGGATGCAGGAGAATCAGCCATAGTAATTAGGTTGAATATACAGCACTTTATTAAAATGGTATGCTAATCCATCTGCGTTAGGATACTTTGTAGTTTATTGAATGGGGCTCTGAGATCCTGACATCCTGAGATCAAATTGCTTTGCCAAACTCCTGTCTTTGAAGGGTATACAATATACATTGTCTCTTGCATAAGTTTAGTTACCCTAAAAAGTGGTAGAGTTAGCTTATTGGGTTTTTTGTCTTTGCCCAGCTCTACATTATCCTTTTGACATGGAATTTTTTCTAGAACGTCATGTAAATATCACTCAACCAATTGTAAATGCAATACAGCTATTCATACATGGTTATGAAAGGTAGGAATTACAGCTAAAGTCTTCTAGTGGCTGAATTAAGTCTGTTTAAGTAGTAATGCGGATATGTTGCCATTCATAAAAATTGGACTTTATTGCTAGAGAAAAGTAACGCTCCTAGGGAGCAACTAAGGCTGATTAAACAGATAAAACTGTTGTCATAGTTTCATTTCTTAGAAGTACAATTTGTAAGTTGAATTGCAATAGCGTGGCTCATCTACTGTTTATTTTATATAGAAAACTTCTTCATTGTGAATCATCTTAATTTGGATCAAGACAGGATTTTTGAGTTGCTAGAAATTGTTTGCCTTGTATCGATCTTCTTTACCTTTTTGATTCTAATTATTCTTACTGAATTTCAGCAATATTTTTGGGTTCTTTCCGTTTGCCTTATGAAGAAATAAAAAATATAATTTTAGAAGTTGATGAAGAGAAGCTGAGTGAATCCTTGATTCAGGTATGTGAAAATGTCTCTGGTTTTGTTCATAGATTGTTTTCCACATAAAAATGCTGTAAAGGTGTAAGAATTCAAAAGCAAGAATAGTGCAGAGTTTTCTGGATATCAGCTACAAATGTATGAGTTGTGTTTATCGTTTTGTTTATTTCACTTCTGCTTTTGAATATGATCGATTATAGCAGTAAAACTGTCACTGTTAAGACACTGCTAACAAAAGTACTTTTGAATCTAACTTTATGGAGTTTCTCTTTCAAAAGGAAATCTCCGATAATTCTAGTTTTTCAGTTTTGAAGGCAAGCATTTACCAGATTTAGGCTAGTAGATAATGAAGTTTCATCAGTCTTCTTGTGGAAACAACTCTGCTTGTCACTACTGATAGATGAAACTACCTGAATGTTTCAGGGTGCTGCTACAACCCAAAAAACATCTGTAAATCAAACCTGCTCTCAAGCTGGTTTCGTCAAATTTGGAGCCCAAAATCTCTCAGCTGGAGAGAAGAAAGTATGGAATACAGCTTCTTTGCATCCCTGATTTCCTCACAATAAGAGGAGAGCAAGTGTGTACACTGCCCCGGTGATCTCTGGGGCGTGACAGAGGGGAACTGAGAAACATGTAAACTTAAAATGGTATAGAGGTGTAGCACACCAATGATACTGGTGTTGAATTGGTTTATTTTGATATCATACGCAGATTGATTCTAGCTAACGTACTTGGTCTCTGCTTATCCTTTCGTCCTTCCCTGTCTCCTGCTTGCACCCCTGTCCTCCAAAGGCTTTCTAAATTAATTTCTTCTTCCTTTCTTGGACCTGGAAAATAGTTATGCCGGGGACACTGGGCTAAACTGACTTGTCTGGTCTTTTCACAGTTAGTTATGTAATTCAATACTACTTCAAATTTTAACATGTATGTTTTCTAACAAAATTACTGTGTTGCAAAGCATACAATGAAAATGGAATTAAATGTACTAAATTAAATTTAATTGTCCTTTGCCTGCAGTTTTTCTTGTTGTCATCAAGGCCCTCTTACATTTCTGGAGTTTTGTTTTGAGGCTCTAGAGGAAGGGCTGCTGTTTTCTCATAGACCTCAAACTATTGGAATCATAGCAGTACATACACATATTTTCTCATAATGTCGTATTCTGAGGCTTATACTGGCCATCCTAATGTGCTTGAAAATACAGATTCGGTATCCAAAATTCTCATTCATATTTCATTTGGGATAATCCTTGATTTATTTCTTTTTTTATTTTTTAGTTTTTGGGTTGCCATGGCATAATATTTTTGGAAGGTCCCATTTGATAGGAAACTGTGTCAGCATGAAATTGATTGGTGTTGAGTAAATGAAATACAAAGCATTTCTAATTATATATTTACATTGCTAAAAATGCTATCTTTGGCTACTAAGTATGTTGTCTTAGAAAAAGCTTATGCACATGATATGTACTATTTAGAAATACAAAGTCTTAAGTTTACGCTTATTGATCAGGCATATCAGATCATTTCATTGAGAAGCCTACAGGATTAATAAAATAAAAAATGAACAGGGAGAAAAAACCTCACCTTGAATACCTCAAATGCAGAATAGTTTCATATTGGTATAGTTGTCTCTACAACAAATGTAGAGATACCTTGAGACCTGGATTAATAGAAATAAGATGTAATATGTTATGCTGAAGTATAAGTTCGTGATCTTATATGTTGACTGTAAAATGCTGGAAGCTAATATTGTAATGGTTGCTTATCAGTTGGAAATGATTGAGGAGACGTAATAGCGAGTCTGTGCTCGACAGGACAAGTATAGCTGCCACTGTGGTGTAGCTGTGTGCGCAGCAGCTAAGCTCTCGCCCAGTCCCAACCCCTTGCCCTGGGCTACTTGTCGGGGCGGGGGGGCGCAGATTGCCCACCCCTGGCCTGCTTGCAGAATGAGAAGCAGAGAAGGCCTTCAAGCTGCACGAGCACTGTTCAGTAGCAACTAAAACATTGGTGTGTTTTCAACACTGTTTCGGTCACAAGTCAAAACAGCACCATAGGGGCTGCTATCAAGAAAATTAACTTCATCCCAGCCAGACCCAGTACACCATAAAAAAGGCAAATGTGATTGCAAGGTGTATCAGGTCAAGTATTTCCAGTAGAGAAGATAATTATTATGCCTTTGAATAATGCCCTTCTAAGACCTTATCTAAAATACTCGGTACATTTCTCAAAAATGAATTTAAAATGGAGAAGCTGAACTTAAAAACTACTTAAGATGATTGAGGGATGGAGTCTACAGAAGGAAGCTAGAAAAGATTGACTTGATTAGATTAGCAATATAAATAGCTGAGAAGGGATATGACTGCGTTATCACTACATGGGGAGCAGAGTGATGTGCATAAGCATTGGGGAGAAAAATGAAGTTGCATAAGTAAAAGGCAATGTTAACACTAGAATAAATGTAAATGAATTCATCATGAATGCAGCTACCTAGAAACTCAGCTGCCTATAATCTTAGAAAAAACTGAGGCTTTGGAGATAGGTCTGTTTCTGAAGGGAATGGTGTGGCAGAGTTGCTTCTAATAGCAGGGAGATGTAGCTGATAACCCAGAGGAGATTCCTTCTGTGTTTCTAAAGATATTCTTAGAAACGTATGGGGGTAAATGGGCTGTGTCATCTATTTCATGTTCAGTCTATTCTGGTTTATTTTTATTCTAATCTTCTGACAGAGTTATTAACTAATTTACCAGTTTAACAGTTTTCAATACTACTGATTGGAAAAATTTTACAAAGTAAAGCTTGCTTTCTTTCATGCTTAGCAAAACTTGTACTTTATGAAAATGCACATGTGGGAACTGCTTTGTTCTAAATGTCAAAGTGGTGAAAGCCAAATGAGTATAGCATAACTGAGCATATAGAAAAGTGCTTTTTCAGTTATGCTTCTGAAGTCCTCGTTTCTTGCTGCTTTTAAAACTTATGTTGTAATACACTAAAATTAATTGGATTAATCGGTTTGAGTGCATGGTAGACTATATACTGTTTTAACTCTTACAGGAGGAAAACACTCTAGGAAAAAATATTCTCAATTCCCAGTGTGTCTTTGAGATAAGTTCTTGTAAACATACGGTTGTCAAACATCGTATTTAGCAGAACTCAGGGCATTGTGACAGTGAGTAGTGAGTTATAATTTCAGCCTCTTAATGTCAGCCTTAGATTCCTACTACTTCTTATGTTTATATAAACCATTTTTATTTACCCTATTTTTACTTAAACCCACATCATCATGAATACATTATGAAACTCTTGTTTCCTAAAGTACTGACAAGGATTTGAGTACGTGATCACTGAATGCTTTAGCTCCATTTTCAGTTATTCAATACAATTAATGAAAGTAAACATATTTAAACATATATATATATATATATATGAGGGAGGGGGGGCTGCAGTGCTAATAGAGCCAAACTCTCCGTCTTAGAAGTTAAGGGTAAAATGAGTTGATCTGTTACCTGTGGACCATAAAGGGGTGTGAATGAGGAAAAAGAAATGATCAAGCATGCTAACAGACTTCGGTTATGTGGCTAAAAAAAAAGGCAGGTTTAGTAATAGGTACGTGTATTTCTGCACTGATGGAAAAAGTAATGTTTTACAGTAAGTTTATTTATGTGTAATGAAATACATGTTTCTGACAAATACTGTGAAATTATTGATGACAGCATTTGGTAAATAGTCTACCTAATGAAAATAGGTTAAAAAAAATTACCTTATTTAGTTAGTTCATGTCTTTGATCTTTACCAGCATTAAACAGTCAATCAAATCAGCAAGAATGTTTTACAGATCCTTAATTTTTTTTTGAAGTAGAAATTGATGGGCCATGGTTTTGGCTTAATAGGAAAGGAGGCATGCTTAGGTTTAAACACGGGGCCATAGCTTGTATGACATCCAGGTGAATCTGATGCTTATCTCTGTCAAGTATATTGAACTCTGCTTACTGAGACACTCAGTAGCTCCCTGGTATAAGTGTAAAAAATCTTTCTGTTACAGGGACGCTTTGTATGAGCCCACTTGTCATCTTTGTTTTTCCTTCTTAATATGGGTGAATGTTTGATTCTTTCAGCTTGGAGAATTAAGTTAGCTATCACTTGCAAATTTGACAAATTAGACTGATGCCTTACTGAAAGTTGTACCTTAATGCCTACTTCATCAAGCCTGGCAGAGCGATCAGTAATCAAATTCTCCTAACGAATAAGAATATTGCAAGAGTGATGGCAAGATTGGTATGTTCTAAAAATAAGACACACGTACCTCTAATAGTACAGGTTTTCTCCGATTAAGATTTTTATATCTGGAAGAAAAATGCTTCTATAGCACTGGTTGCTTTTCTGATTTTAAAAGGCACGTAACTTTTTTTCATATCAGAGTCTTTGTGACACGGACCTAAACAGTCATTACTGATTCTCTGACAGTGTCAGTGTGCATGTCCCTTCTATTTCATTCATATCTTCTGGGAACACATGGCAATGCACCTTTTCTGGTGGGAGGAGAACTGATGTGCTAATAACCTGACCAGAAGAGCTTCAAGTTAACGGAGCATGTTCTGACACGTTTTACTTCTATGACTAGTGTTGCAGAAGGTATCAAAAGATGTAAATTTTGTAGCTGTAGCACATTACCTTGTCTTCACTAAAATCTGTGTTGTAATTCAAATGCTATAGAATGGCATATTCCATAGACACTTTCTTGGAAGTAAACCTCTAAACCTGATGGTGGTTCTACCATTTACTTATGGAAGTTTCAGAGGGTGGCTTCATAAAGTAGGAAGTTCTTGTTGAAGAACATGGGCTTACCCCTTTTCTCTTTAATACCTCGGGACCCACCGTGTTTGTGTAGAAAGAAAAATTATTTCTGTGTGAAGACAATTTTTTTCTTAGTTATTTGGTGCAGCAGTCATTGCGTTGTGGAGTTGGGTGAATCTCACATTGATTTTTCATAGTTATTTATAACAAAAGTGCACTACTTCTTTGGCCACGATAAGCATATTAAGTGCTTATAAATTATCCAGCGTACAGAAACAGGTCGCCTCCCTTTACTATGTGGTTAGACAATTACTCCCCTCAAAAAAATCCCCCTAAGGACCACAGTGGGAAAGCAGGAGGGACGCTGTGTTCACCTAGATCTGGAGATATTTCTGCCTCTCTTCCATCGGTCAATGTCTCCAACTCAGTCCCTTTGATTTCTTCAGTGGCCAGTGCTTGCCCATAACTCAACACCCTCTGAAATGCCACAGAATCACACTTGCCTGCAAGCGACTATGGTGTTTTGGATCCCATATCCAGTATCCAAAATATTAAATCATTTTTGTTTCTTGATTTTTCCTGTCATAAGTCTTTAATATGAACAAAGGTGATTAGTGGAGATTGGAAATGAAGTAAAGGGCACCCTCTGTGTGTGGACAGCCGTAGCGTAATCATATCAGTTAATATTTTAATTCACTTTGGTTTTTTGATCTTAAGATTTATGAACCTTTTTAAACAAAAAAGGCCTATTGACTCTTGCTAGCTTGCTTGAACGTAAATGTATACTCTTTTTCCCTTGAAGAATTACATTATGGGTTTGTTTTCAACTAACATATATATCAAAATTTGAATACAATCTAAACTTTTACTGAGTATCTCTTAAAACTAAGTATTCTTCAGCCTTAATATAAATATTTTATACATTTAGCATATCTGTATTTTGAGATGTTAGGATCATCTAAAAAAAATGATACAATTTTCTTTGGGGACATGGATAAGATTTCAAGCAAGTTCTACTTGTTGCTGAGCTCCAGTATATTTGCCGTCCAGAAGATCCATACAATTTTGAGATGTTCTTTTTTTGTCTAAAGTGTTTTTAAGTGAAGTTTTTGCACAACTGTTTTGAATGTCTAAAGATTTTTATTTTTCTTAGGTAGTTATGTCTTGCTTTACACAGACCAGTTATTTCTTGATTAATGTTTAATGATCAAGATGCAATCACAAGGGCAAAAAAAGATTGTAGATAGAGTATAATTCTTCAGGGTCTGACAGCATCAAGGAGTTTTGTGTAACTTTTTAACACTGAGAAGGCATTCTTCAAATTAGAGACTATAACAGAGGTGCTGACGTCTGTATTAAATAATTACTGGTTTGATTTGATGTTTCTATAGTGTTAAAGCTGCGTAAATAAAATAAGCGTCCCATAATTTCCTCATGCATTTCCATGTGGTGGTATTTTAAGCATGTTATTTTAAGATCTCAGCTACTTCAATATAACAAATTTAATATAATTCCTTGTTTCTTTTAGAACCTAGTGAAGAATCTTCCTGAGCAGAAAGAACTCAATGCCTTAGCCGAATTAAAGGATGAATATAATGATCTTGCTGAGCCAGAACAATTTGGAGTTGTGGTATGTATTAGTGCAATAATTAACTGGAGAGCTCTATTTTGTCAAATAGATGAAAAAATTTAAGTTTGAATTATTTTGGGTAGCATTTTTTGCAAATCCTGCAGTAGAAGTTGTTACCATCTGTTCATTGATCCATAATAATCTAAAAATCTCTGTAAATGCATACATATTAGGTGTTTTTGTGGAAGGAATTATGGTATGCAGTTAAGAGCAACAGGCACTTCTGTGCCAAACCAAATCTTTCGTCTTACTGTCTTGCCTTGTATGCAGGTCTTGTATGTTTATTATACAGTTATAGAGAACACTCTAGTTTCAAGTAGTTAAATTTCCAGGAGTTCTTAAAAGGCCCATTAACTCAGTGGCGTTGACAACTTTGATAAATTTATTCTGCTGTATCAAAAACTGTAAACAGCTGAAAGAGCTAATATGCCCATAATATCTCATGTCATGTTTTTATCCTTTGGTTAAAAAAAAATAAAGTGTGTGTGTGTGTATATATTTTATGTGTACATGTATATATACACATATATGTGTGTATGCATATACATATAAAATATACATACATATATATATATATATGCACACAAACACTTAGAAACTTGCAAAAATCTCTAGAAGAAGTGTGGATTCATACTAGAACTGAAATTGTGATCATATTCTGTTACTTTTACTAGTGTTCAATACATATATCTATTCCAAAAGTAGGGATATTGAGTACTATAGTGGCTAGAACCTGTCTCCAAATGAAATTATAAAATTTGCATAAGTTACCCTAATACATGCTGGTAGTTGATGGTATGATACCGAGTACTAAGCTAGGACTTGGAAGATTCTTTTTCTGCTTCTGGTCTTCCAAAGACCTGATAAGTCCTTAGGCAAATTAGTTCCTGTTTTCACTTCACTTTGTCAGTCTATAAGATTATAATGATGATGATAGCTTCTGTAATGTGTTTAGAATTTATCCCTAACTGCACAGGAGCTAGGTTTGCTCTTGCTGGATTTTTATGGTGTTATGTACATTAAAATGCATTAAAACAGAAATAGAGGTCTCTTAAAAGGAAAGAGTGAAACGAGCTTTTTACTAAAACGCTATGATTTGAGCATAATTTGGTTTCAGAAGTGCCTTTTTGAGTGATTGGGGAGGGGGGGAATATAATTTGACCTAATGAGATTTTTTTGTAGCAGATTTAGAAAATGAAAGATATCAATGACTTCTTTTGAAAAACTTCAGGCTATTGATTTTATTTTTTTAATAAATGGCATAAAGTTCCAAAAATGATTTATTTCAAAACAAAGATGAGGAATTTTGGTAAAAGTGCGATACATTGGTTAGTCTTATTACAAGGTCTGCAGTAGGAAAACATTACCATCTATTTATTGATCAGTAACCATCTAAAAATCTCTATAAATACATATTTGGTGCTTTTCTTGAAGGAATTATGGCATACAATACATATAAAAAATAATTATAGTATAATGTATTAATATATCTTATTGATATATATGAGAATGTATCCATATATACAGATATATATTATATGCCTGTATTCTATATATTTTCTATACATATGCACATATATGTGTATGTATATTAAAAAATCTGCTTAAAAGCACTGGAGGGATACTATGTTCCCTCTTTGTCATGTAACGCACTCTTTCAGAGTGACTAAACCACGTGATGAAGTAACAGTAGTACTTCCAGCCCTACAACAAGATGGGCTTTTGGTCCCTAGGAAGGCAGGCAGGCCGGCCAGAGCAGTTGCCCTGTCTACTCTCTGCTGAAATGGCAATGAGTGAAGGATGCCAGGGAGTAACTGATTTAGCAAATTAATATTTCCTTATTTCCCTCCTGCATAAATAATGCCAAACAAAGGAGGAAATTACTTAGATTTTGTGCAGGGAGAATATCTGAAATGTGTCTGAGGAAAACACAGTATGGAAGCAAGCAAAGGTGGAGGCATTAGGACAAATGAAGACCCTGATGTCTATGAATTCTATTCAGTTAACTTTTTAAAATAAGCAAAGAGATTCAGAAAATTGTGCATAATGACCTTGATTTAAAAGACTGTGTAGATATTTGTCCATTTTACTGCTGTAAGTTCCTTAATGTTCCCCCCAATCTTTATAACTTGGATCCTTTCCCAACTTGATTCCTTCTTCTGCCACACATTTCCCTTTTATAAACATCATACCTACCGTGTCTCTTCTGCTTCAGCCTTTCTGCCCTATTTGGTTTTACTGCATTGCTCTCTATAGCTTTTATAGAAAGATATTTCTGGATTAGTATACTGTTTATCTGCATCCTCCCATCATGCTGCTCTGTGGTGGGTAGCAGTAAATTACCCTTCTGCTGAGGAAAGCTGTGACAGTGGCACTGCATTCAATATTCAGCCACCTTCGAGGTCAACAATGTTTTCCTCATATACAGTCAGAATTTCCTGAGTGCCGTCTTGTATTTTGCTTCTTGTCCTATCACCGTGCACCTTCAAGAATCTTGTGGTTCCATCTTCTCTGTACCTTCCCTTTAGTTAGAAGCAGATCAGAGAGTCGAGAGCAGCTATTCAGAAAAGAACAGGTGCTGTGGATTAACCCTGGTAGGCAGCTCAGCACCACACAGATGCTTACTCACTTCCCCCTCCCATTCCCAGCGGGATGGGGGAAGAAGAAAGCAAGAGTGAAAGTGAGAAAACTCATGGGTTGAGATAAAAATAGTTTAAGAAGTGAAGGAGCAATGGAAGAAGAAAGAGAGAAAACAAAGGCGATCACTCCCTGTCTCGATGTGTAGACTGATTTACAGGCAGTTTGTGAGCAAAAGATGGCTAACCTATCTAAGCCCCCCTCCTCCACGTTTTTTTACTGAGCATGATGTTATATGGCACGGGATATCTCTCTGGTTAGTTTGGGTCATTCGGCTGGTAGCGTCCCATCCCAACCTCTTGCACACCCCCGGTCTATTCACTGGGTTGTGCACAGTGAGAAGTGCAGAAGGCCTTGACACTGTGCAAACACCGTTCAGCGGTAGCTAAAGCATTAGTGTGGTAAGAGCATTCTTTCGTTCACAAATCTAAAACACACCACTCTACAGGCTGCTGTGAAGAACAATTTACTCCGTCCCAGCCAGACCCAGTACAACCGCGTTAGTCAGAGTTTATTCTGTTACTGCCAAGGCTTGTTTGCTTTGCCTAGGCTTGCGTAGAAGCACACAGTTTTTAAGAACTGGGGTAACTACATCTGACCACTTATGCAGACATGATGTGCTAGCTGTTTTTTCTGTAGATAAAATTATTTCCCCAGTTTCACCTCTGTGCAGAAGGTGTTATGAGAGAGATTCATTAATGTCTGCAGCTTCATTAATCACCTGGTCTGAAATTTTGGTGGGGCATAGGACAGGCAGGATCAGGTTTTGCATTTTGCACTAATTTGGTTGCAGTTGACTAATGGCTTTTTCATTTTGTGTATATGCTAATATGCTGCTCGAAATGAAAGGCTGAAAATAAACTTAAGGTGTAATTATTATAGATATCAAAAGGCTGATCCAAGACAGTCGAAATGTTTTTTGTGATGTAAAGAAAACCTGCAAAAAATCAGTCTGTTTCATTCTTTGCCTTACATTCAGCTTCATCTTGGTTGGACGAGTATGAATTTGATAAGTGAAAGAATGTAACCGATACTCTAGTTTAACTGTTTGGATGTGAACTGGCTGCACAATGAGTATAAATGACAGTGCAAAATCCAGGTTTTCTGTCATCACATGTAGAATACCGAGATTCTACAAAACTTAACTATATGAGAACACTTGGAGAATGTTTTTGTTCTGATATTCGGACCATTATTTACCTCCAATTCAGAAGACCACAGGTTAGAAGGTGTAGTTCTTTGGCTTTGCCTTGATGTAGTGGTAAAACAGAAGCATTTAATGAAGTTGCCAGTATACAAGTAGTGTGTGATAAGTACGTGTGGATAGTAAGTATTCTTAGTACAGTTTTAACCAGAGTTTGACTGCATGTCAATTTATGTTTTACTTATAGTTATCTGAAAGCCACTTGAACTGAGAGGAGCAGCCTTGGCTTTTTGCCACTGTTGGATAGCTTGGTGTTTTGTTTTTTTTTTTTTAATCAGATGTCTATCAGTTAGGTCTAGTACTTACACTTTCTTCCTCATTCTTTTTGTGTAGTACTAAGATTTGTTTCTTTCTTATAATCTTTCATTCTGATTCTGCAGGCAGCTTCTTTCCCAGGAAATTATCCAACTATAAATGAAAGTCAGTTGGGAAGCTGTATCATCTCTATTGGTTGTCTTACATAGCTGGGGATCATGCATTCACCTGACTTACGATTACTACTGGATTGAAACTAAATGGTCCTTGTTTTTTCACTCAATTGTATTGAAAAAGTCATAAAAGTATCCTTATTTTCCAACAGTACAAATATAGTCATGATCACTTTTTTGTTGATTTGTTCTTTTGAGGAACGACCAACTACAAAAAGTTGAGAAAGAATTTAAACATATTTAGTGGAACATTAATTAGAAAAAACTGCTTAATCAAAGATCTGCAAATGGTGGTGTGTGCCTTATGAAGGGACTAAGTTTCCTGAAGCTTGCTTGCTTATTCAACTTTAACATCTGGTTTAATAAAAAAAATTACATTTCCTTATGGGTAGTGATTCTGTCTTATTTTTAGAGGCCTCTAACTACATTAATACTACTAAAATGCTGGTTTTCTTTCCGATTTTGATTTATTTGAACAATACATTAAAGTGGAAGAAATGCAACTGAACTTAAGCTCTTTACTTGATTGGAGTCCTTTTTTGCTATGTGTCAAATTAATTTCAGAGTTTTGTGTTAATAATAATAATTAATAATAATCTTAACCTTGACGTTAAGAAGAATATGTTTAGGAATAGAAGAAGACAGAAAGACTATGTTAAATAGTATTTAAAATCTGTATCCTTATTTGTATGTAAATTTAGGTATGTTAATTATTAAGAGATGTTAATTGGATAATCACTGTGCCCATCAAATTTAATAAAGGTTGGAACAAGTTGTTTAAAATTTGTGTAGAAAACCCATACTTAGTAAATGATTAACTTATTAGAAGAGACCGATTAACTTAATATTCAGCTGATATGTAAATGAAAATTAGAGTTGAATTTTCATTTAGATTAAATGTTAAAACCAATTATATATTCAAATTAGTTATTGGAACTGTTTTTGAAGTTATATCCTGGGATCAAAAAAGGCAACACAACTTCATGTAAAGAAAAGTTTGCATTGATGTTGAAGTAGAGCAAGAAAAATAGATTAACTGAATCAGTTGTATAACATCAAAAAAGCTAGGCAGAATGTTCTCTGATTTTTAAATGTAAAACTTTGTGTTTGGAGTTAATTTTTCTACGTCATGGGAACAACTGCAGCTTCAATAAGGATACTTGCTTTCAGTTTTGGTGCCAGTTGAGCAGTTTAAGTATTATAAAAACATAAGTCTCATCTGTGCTATGAAGTGTGAGTACCAGCCATTTCCTGTCAACTCGGAGGACAGGCTACAAAAAAAGTAAAATCTTTTGCAGCGTTAGTGGTATTTAAACTCAGAAAACTTTACCCACTTTTCTTTACCACTGTGAGTTTTAAGGTTGAGTTGACAAGAATATTACCACTTCTAAAAAGATCATCCCACAATTATGTGGTGCAAATTGTAGTTACTACCTCTTTAGTGAACCAACAAAACAAGTGACTGGAACTGACCAAAGAATTCCCTTTCTGGTGTGTGTGCTGGCAAAGTGGGAGGGCTTGTGTTGCTGGTTTCTAGTGAATGCAAAACTTCCTTCAGCTGTTAACAACTGGGTTATCAGTAATTTCATTGTTAATGCAAGAGGATAAGTTTCACTGAGTAGTTGTACTTGTAGAGACTTGCCGAGTCCGTGACCCTTTCTGCTGTGTAACCAGGATTAGCTGTCCTGAACAGCCCTTGCTGGGAGGTAGATGAAGTTGGAAGAATTGTGCAAGTTTATTGCACCTGCGTTGGTTTAGAGTCATTCAGTCATTTTAATTGAATTTATTTGCCACTTGTTTTGCCTCATTGTAATTTCTAGAGCTGCTGAAGAATTAATCTTTCTAGAACATTGCTAGGAAAAAAAGGCAACTGTTTAATATATATTATAGGTAAGAGGCTGAGTAAGTTGTCTGAGTAAGTTGACAAATTTGTATTATAGGAATGTCAGCTTTTTTCCTTAGGAAGTGAGGCAAATTTAATTGTGCTTTTTGCCTCTTTCTCCAATAACCTTTGATCCTAGTTTTAATACAGGGCTTGAGAATTGAATGATGATAATAAAGAACTGAATAAAGAACTTGATTAGGTAGAGAATTCAGACAAGGAGCTTTATGAAAGCCCAGAAGGGGAAATAATGACATGAAGTCCATTGCTCACAGTTAGATGGAAAAGTACCCATTTTCTTGCTGCTTTAACTGTTTCTGGTGAAAGCTAATGCTTGCTGTTACATGCCCCTATTTGAATGTGTTATTTCTTATATGTCTTTGACACTATTTTTGTAGAACTATAAACAATTTGACCTTTTTCTCGGTGAATGTAATCTTTGCACCTTACCTATTTTCAGAAGATTCCTTTAAGTTCAATATGTTTTATCAGCCATCGAACATGTGTATTTAGAAACATGCCCATGAAAGAGAAACTGGGGCAGGGTGGGGAAGGAGGAAATAAAATAGCATTTGTGATCATCTTCTATTGATACATAAAGAGCATAAGGTATATAAAAATGGTTTGAATTCTGAGGAAACAACCCACTTGAAACAGCTCTTATGAAACTGTCAGGATACTTTTTAAATATTATGCATATCAGCAAATGAAATTAAAACTTGCTACTGGTTTGGTAGTCAAACTGCCTTGCAAAACAAATAAATGATCGGTGTTTCATGACACTTTACAGCATTAAAAAAAGAAAGAAAGTACAAATTGGCTTAAGTGTTGTAAAGGATTATTCTTAACAAGTGTTTAAGCCCCACGTTTTGTTGTGCTCTGTTATCAGGATCTAAAGCTTTTGACAACTTTTTCTGTGCAATTTTAAGTAAAATCAATAATTGGAGATTGTTCTAGAAAAGTTAAAGCAAATTATGTGATTAATTTTGATTTCCGTCTGCTGCAGCTCAGTGAAGGTAGATCCTTTCGAGGCAGATGTTTTCAGTATGATATTTCTGAAATACAGAATGATGAGAAGAATAATATTTCAAGACTTTGCATGATGTTGGCTTATAGAGGCTCATAGAGAAGTTTGTGACAATAGAGATGTACTAAAAAAGATTGCAAGTTATGCTGAAACGCTTCTTTTCTGATCCTTTCCTTTTCCTCGTTCCAGTCTGATCGTATGAATTGTTTGAGACCATCTGGAGTGCCTTCATATTTATTTTCATTTTAGTATGAATTCATCATTCTTCAGGCCACCCGAGCCTTTCCTGTAAAAGTTGTTGCTGCTGCTTCTGGTAGCTGGCTGTGTAGATAACACCAGCAGAAACCTCATGGTTCCTCAAGGAGCTTTGGGCAACAGGGACATGAGCACATAGAAATCTTTCTGTTTTGATAGCCAAGATCTGTGATCTGTCACATAACAAAGCTTTTCTTTCAGGGGGACAAAGTGCTTCAGGAACACCACTGATAGTGAATACATTGGGGGAGAAATCTTTCTGTATTCTGCTAATTAAAATTAGGAGTTAGATTTGGAAGGTAATCATTCTTGCATTTAAATGAAAATTTTTAAGTGGATTAAAAATTTTCAGTACATATTTTTGTCTTAAATCTCTCTTGTGAATTGTAGTCTGCTGCTAAGTAGGAGGAAATATTACTGATCACTTGTGCAAAATATGAAAGACATGGACCTATTTTGGTAGCTAGTCTAATGAAATTGGTCTTAGGGATTTATTCTAATGAATCACTGTTGTAGATGCTTGTCAGTATCTCTGTCATTTACTGTGTTACAATGCTGTGATTTATATCCTCCCAGCTTTCTATCAGGTCAGGAAGGAATGAGTCCTTTTGCAAAGTGTCTGAAACATAAAGGTGATAATATCTTGGGCAGTAGTTTTTAAAAATATGTTTAGAAAGACAAAAAGACAAGAGGTTAAAAAGCAAGCAGCATGTTGCCTATCAAATATGATGTCATGGGATCAGAACTGAAAGAGTATACCAGAAATATATCCTCACTTTAGTATCTCTAGGTATATTGTTTTTTATATAGAACTTATTGTCATGAATTTCAGCCAAAACCTCTTTATCCACCTCCTGATTCTGATTATTGTTTGGGATACACAGATTAGGACTTTTTGATGGCGTGAACTTGAAAAGTCTTAGGATCAAATATATATCATAGTGTATCTTTTAAAATACCTTTGAGCTTGTTTGGTAACTATCGATACTGGTAGGATTCATGTTATTTATTTTATAACTTGCTATAAGCGTAGATAATTACTGAACAAAATCCAGTTTGGGTTTCATTTTAATTAAAAACTACAAAAATAAACACCTCGTTAGATGTACCACTGATGTCATCTGTAAATGTCACAATTAACAGCTCACATCAGTACAATGGCAGAAAATATTTCATGAACAATAGTACTAATGTGACCTGGCTTTATAGAAATATCTGACTAGTGAAGCTTGATCTCCTGTGGCTCAAACTCACTTAGATATTCCCATGTCCTTCCACAAGGGTCCCTAAGAATTCATCATCTCTCTCCCCTATTGCTCTCCCAGGGACCAAGAGCAAGTTGAGAGCTATGCAGCAGCTCAGTAACAGAAATGGAAAGTATAATTCTTCAGCTTAATCAGAGTGAAGTGTAGCTGTTTGCATTTGTGCTGGTATCAGCACACACACTTGAGAGATTGTTGTACCACTTCTGAAGGAAGAAAAACTGAGAAGCTCAGGTTTAGGAAACTGGTAAATATCAGAGTTCAAGGGTAACTTCACAGGAGATGTGATGCCTCAAGGTGTACACAGCCACGTGTACCTTCAGGCTGATTTTCAGTCCTTGTTAACTGGTGGAACTGGCTTACATTTCCTTTGGTGGGAGGAAGGTTTTTGCAGTGTGCATTTATTGTCAGTGAGTTTGGAATTCACAAATTAAATGATTTGGTAACACAAAGCACTCTCATTTTCAATGTGTTGCTTCACTGAATTTTTTCAGGCAAAGTATATGGTTTGGGGAAAAATACCTGTGGGCAGGTATGGATTCCTGGAAATACAAGATAGGCAATGAAAACGTACAGAAACTTTAGTCTTACTGGCTGCACAATATTGTTGTTTAATATAAGCTATTTTGCATAAATAACCTTTTGGTTTTTTATGTTCTGATTTAATGTTTTTTATTTTGTAGATGAGTTCAGTGAAAATGTTGCGGTCACGTCTCAACGGGATCCTTTTCAGGCTTATGTTCGAAGAGCACGTAAACAATATCAAACCTGACATTATGGCGGTTACACTAGCTTGTGAAGAGCTGAAGAAGAGTGAAAACTTTAGTAAGCTTTTAGAGCTAGTGCTGTTCCTTGGAAACTACATGAACTCTGGCTCCAGAAACGCACAGTCTCTCGGGTTTAACATCAGTTTTCTTTGCAAGGTAAGATGAAGCGATAAAGCTTGTAAGTGCAAATTCAAGAAATGCATGACACATGAGAAAGTTCCATAAATAGGGAAAAACATTTAATCAGTGTAGTTTACTGGATGCATCTCTGTTTTTAATAACGGATAGACAACTACAGAGTAAACGTTTCTAGGATGGTCCCCTCCTATAGCTGTCTTTCTCAGTGCAATGGCGATTTAAGGCAGTTGTTTAATTGTAAGTGTGTTCTGAGTCTTTCTGGAGTATGCAAGTAGAACAGCTTTTCAATCTGAATTTGTTCAACTATCATCTTGTCAGTAGAATATACCTAGAGCTCTGAATACGTTAAATAGCTCTAGCTACTTATCTTTCTTCCCATCTTCTACCCAGGTATCCCTCAAGCACTATCACCGAAATAATTATTTGAGATTAAAGATGAACATTGTTATCCTAGATTTAATTTCAGTTGTGGTGGCAAAATATGGGATGCAACAAGAACTTCAGAATCTCTAGCAGTCAGAATTTAATGTGCAGTGCTTGCTTATTTATATGGTGAAATGTGTGTAAGGTGTTGATCTCAACTTGACCATCTCAGTTTGTCAAGTACCTTCGAAAGTATCTTTAAAATAAAGGGATGCAATATTTGTAAAGAGATATTTTTTTTTTTTTAAAAAAGTTAGCATAAATCTTGCAGAGGAATTTTTCAGGTTTTTTTTTTTGTTTGTTTGGTCTAATCAGAGGATCCAGTTTTCAAATCCCTTTTTTGGGCATCATGAGGAAATCTGATGTGTACCTCAAGGAGATTTACCCTTGGGGGAAAAATAATATTTCAAACACACAGCAAGTCTGATCTGATGTATTTCAGTAGAGAAAGACCCTGCTTGCTGTAATTTAATATAAAGATGTTGCTAACTAATGGTAAAATAAAAACCATCACCTGAGAAATGCTTTCATTTTTTAATAGCTTTTTTAAAGAGAGGCCGATTTGAAGGATTTTTTAAATAAATCTAGTGCTGCATTTTGTTTTCGGTAGTAGTGGAATCTAAAGGGAAATTAATGTTTTAAGTAGAAAACTACTTGTTAATGGGGGGGGAATGATGACTGTGCATGAATGGTACTCTAGCATAGCATAGATTCGAGAAGGTATTCTTGCACTCCAGGTAATAGATTTATGAATTGCTGTCAATGCAAATCCCACAGATGTTGACACAGCTAATGCAGATTGACTAATCCTGCAAATTGTTCTCTACTGAACTGAATAATTGCTGAAGCATAGCTATCTGTGCTTACAGCTAAATTCCATTTAAAATAACTGAGACAAAAATCTATGACTATTTAATTGAGCCTTGCCCTCAGAAACAAAATCTATTTAAATTTTTTTTTGTTTTCAAGATAGATATTTCTGAGGGAAGTGTTCTTCCTCTGCCCCCCACCCCCCTGCCATGAGATTAGAGAAAATACTTCAACATTCTCCCTAATAAAAATATTGACTGTGCTGTTGTACTAGGTATATTTTGTTTTAAGGTGATGTCTAAAAATAAAATAATCTCAAAGACAGTGATGGTTATTGGAGCAAAAAAGAAGGTCTCGCTGAAATCTAGACGTGAAATTGTATCATTAATAGCTCTGCATATTGATTAAACCTTGTGAATTATCACTCATAAGTTCCAAACTCAGAACAAGTCACTTAAATTAATGGAAATGTAGATAAGTTTCTCCGGACAGATTGGCATGTGCATTGTCAGCAATTTAAATCTCTTGTTTATTACTCAAGTTAAAAAATATTTTCTGCTATTTAAAGCTCCGGTTTTCATTGCTTTATGTATTTAATAATGTGCTTTTGCAAGAGTTATTTTTTTTCAAATGGTTTTGTACCTGTACTTATGCTTTAGTATCATACCTAGAGAAGTAACCTTCTACTTTATTGATGTTTAATTCTATAAATAAGAGGTGCTTACACAGTTAGTATTTGCAATGGATTTTTTTTTTTTTTTAATTACTGTTAAGAATCCAAATTTATATTTGGGTAATGACTCCTTTTATGCATTGATTATTTTCAACTGATAATTGCATTCGGTTTCTTTGTTTAATAGCTTTCAAATCCTCCCATTTTCCACCCAAAATAGTAAGATGGCTTTATTGGACTTGTGTTATTAACTAAGAGTACAGTCTGACAGGCCTTTGTTAATTGTTGTGAATAGTGCAAAATATTAAACTATATCAGGTGGCAGTATCTTTTATAAGCACCAGGTTTAATATGGGGTTTTTTTAAGCGACTTTAGAATGAGGAGAAGAATTTCTTACCAGTTTTAAACATTACTTGCCTAAGTAAGAACTGCTTCAATAGCAGTTTTTAAAAAAGACCATTTGGCTTAATGTTTTAAAACGTTGGTCATTTCTTTGTCTTTTTTTTTTTTTTTTTTACTTTTTTTTGGTGATTCTCACTGTAAGATACTTGATGGGACAAAGTAAGATATAAGTTAAATAACAGTATTATCCTCTGAATATTGTTATTCTGGAAGGACTTCAGCTGTTATGTGAACAGAATTTGTAATATATCTAGCTGACTTGACTCATATGTTAGTTTTTAGCTGTTCTTTACTACATTATTGATGACAAGGATTTAAGTCTCAGAAGAAATAACCAGAAAACATATTAGGATAAGGGGAATCAAACCAGTGGATATTTGATCAATGATTTTTAAAGGCTTGGTTTTTGGAAGTTTTTTAGTTTGTGGCTTTGTTTTTTTTTCTTTTTTAGACCAGTGACTTAAACTCTCTTTAATGTCAGTGGACTGTCTGCCCATTATAAGAGAACTTTTATTTTGGGTTTGGTTGTTTTTTGTTTTGTTTTTTTTTTTTTGAGCCAGCTGTCAGCAAGGTACAACACACATCTATGGGTACACATTTCACACATTTCTATGTGCAGAATACACATAGAAAGCAGAGCTGTTTTAATGATGAGGTATCCCAACGTGATGAATTCACTTTTCAATAAAACCTGATTTTCGTATTGATTTTTTTTGTCGTCCTTGAACAATCTTAAAATTAATTGTCTGTTTAGTAGATGTAGTACTTACGTTATGTGATCTGAAAAAAGAAAAGAACAAAGGCAGGTATTGATCTGGCATAAATGTTTGCTTTTGTAACAGAAATGTTCTTAAAATGGAGCCGGTCGTTTTGTACACAGAAATCTGTTATTGTGTAACAACTTTTATTAAAACATGATAAAGAAGAGAAAGCATGAATTCAAACCTGTCTGGTCGTAGCTAAAAAGCTAATGCCTCTATAGTAATTGCAAATCCTTAAAAACAGATTATCTTTCTGCATGTTATATTGCAGTGTATGATCTTATTGAAGAAAGAAATGATTTGTAAACAACCTTTGGCAGAAGACAGAGAACTTAATTTTGTTCAAATAAGAGATAGACATTAGAATTCATGCGCTGTATCAAGGCTGGCAAGCAGTAGCAGCTACTCTGATGTATGCACTAGAGCATTCATGATTGCCTAAGTGTTAAGTGCTCTGTGAAAATATAAATATGTCAGAAAAAGTAGTAAAGTTCAGAGAGGCTCCTGTAGTAATTCACTAAAGGTAAATCTTTTTACCAGTTCTTGCATTTGATTAATGTGTACTAATGATCCAACTGCGATTCTGAACCCCTATTGCAGCAGTTACTATCTCTTACCAAGGGCAGGAGAACCCTCACAGTTCTATAAAGTTATGCTAGACAGAAATGTAATTGAAAGAAAAGAGCTTTGCTTTAGGCATATGTACGGTACAACTTCTGTTCTTTCTGTGGTGAATTAGTGTAAAGACTAACAGCAAACAGCCCTGTGTTTTAATAAAGCTTTTGTAGTATTCTAGCTAGATCAATGTGTATTTTATGTAATAAGTAATATATGTTACTTCTTGTTCATAGTGCAAATAGCACACGACAAGCTGTTTATCCAGTTTGAGTATTACTGACTAGTGTACATTTATTAGTTGTCTACCAGACCCTTTTCTGGTTAAGGTGGGAAAGATTTCTGGGATATGAAAAGTCATATAATCTCATAAAAATCAATAGAAAGCTTTTTTAATGGCTATAATAATCGCACAACCACTCTAGCGGTAGTTAAAACATACATTTTTCCTTACGTTGGTTGTCGCTTTTAACTCTCACACCTGAAAACTTAATCCAAAAGTACCTGTAAAAGGAAAAAAAAAATAAATCTGGAAGTGGGTTACAGTACGATTTTCATGTTTTAAATGCTTTTTTAGATACTACACGTAAAGGAGATTTTTGTTATATTGATGTTATTTCTGAGCTACAGACCTAAACATCGTACTCTGTATATTACTTGAGTAATATAATGGGTGTGCTGGGAGTATTATGTTCTGTGTATATCAGTCTTTAATCCTTTCCCAAGCAATGAATCTGATAGTATTGACCACTCAAACTGATGCTTCAGCATTCAGCGGGAAGCTCCTTTCTGAAGCCTACGCTGATCTACTGATTTATTTTTTTTTTTTTTTAGCTAAATGTGTTATTCCCAAATTCTGTCTCTCAGATAAAGGCCATAGAATCAAAACCTATATTTGAAAATTTTAACACTGCAGTGTTATTGTCGTCTTTAAAAATAAATAAATTTGGAAAACTTTAAGTCGGTGAGAACTTTTATTTTGGGTTTGGTTGTTTTTTGTTTTGTTTTTTTTTTTTTGAGCCAGCTGTCAGCAAGGTACAACACACATCTATGGGTACACATTTCACACATTTCTATGTGCAGAATACACATAGAAAGCAGAGCTGTTTTAATGATGAGGTATCCCAACGTGATGAATTCACTTTTCAATAAAACCTGATTTTCGTATTGATTTTTTTTGTCGTCCTTGAACAATCTTAAAATTAATTGTCTGTTTAGTAGATGTAGTACTTACGTTATGTGATCTGAAAAAAGAAAAGAACAAAGGCAGGTATTGATCTGGCATAAATGTTTGCTTTTGTAACAGAAATGTTCTTAAAATGGAGCCGGTCGT